ACTAAAATCAGTATGAAAATTTACTTCGGTGGAGGAATTTTTTTTTTTTTACAATTATCAACAAATTATCCCAATTGCATCGGAAAGCAAAAAGGTGTTTTAACAGGGACAAATTCCAACAACATATGGTAGGGGGTGGATACAATTGTGCCTTCAAATTGGATTTATGATACAAGTAAATCATAACGGGGGGGGGGGGAAATAGCTTAAGCTATTCTATCCCTTTGAGATGTATTTTGTTCTTGTCTCAATAAACATACTTGAACATAACAGCTGTATGGCGCGTGTCTGGCACAAGACGCTGGTTCAATCCCCGACTCTGTCCCAATCATTTTCTTATAGGATACAAGACTTACTTATGTCTTCACATGGAAGGGAAATAACCTGAAATAATACCGATGTCCGACCAGTTTCCGTTAAGCGGAAAAAAAGGATCCAAACACAGCATCACTCGGTCACATAATATCCGGGATATTGAACACCTTCCAAATAGGGATGTGTATGTGTGTGTGCTTGTAAAAGTATTTGTATATGTGTGTGAACGTTTAGTATAAACGTTCACAGGCAGTTTAGCCTGTGAACAGATAGGAATGTACATGTTTATCAGCTAGAGTGTTCAGTAATACGGTGTTTGTGACGTGTACTCACCTAGTTGTGCTTGCGGGGGTTGTGCTCTGGGTCTTTGGTCCCGCCTCTCAACTGTCAATCAACTGGTGTACAGGTTCCTGAGCCTACTGGGCTCTATCATATCTACATTTGAAACTGTGTATAGAGTCAGCCTCCACCACATCATTGCCTAATGCATTCCATCTGTTAACTACTCTGAAACTGAAAAAGTTCTTTCTAACGTCCCTGTGGTTCATTTGGGTACTCAGTCTCCACCTGTGTCCCCTTGTTCGCGAACCACCCGTGTGTGTAAATATATATGAACACGTTTCATTGAACGGTTCATTGCTACCTCATCCCTTTGTGTGTGACTTTAGCCAAGTATCTTGTTATATATCGCTTGAAATCATGCAGGCGATGTACCCAAAATAGAAGGTATTTAGAGATTATATACAGCATCCTTAGAGACGGCAAAACACCTTAAATGTTTGGAGCGTGTCAAAGAACTGTGAACGTACTATCTGCAAGGGAGACGTCAACGATGTAACATAGTCCAGACGTGGAAGATACCCTTATCTCAGGCCTCTAACCTGCACGATAAAAACAATTATTGGTTCGAGATATGTGATAGGAAGAATAGAATAGACACAGTGGAGAGTCGAGGCGCCATAAGGATTGAACACCTCATGAATACCAGAGGTACACAATTTTCAAATGTTCTTCAAGCATATATAAGAAGAAATATTACCGGTTCACGAAGGTTGAAGTTTTCAAGAAGGAAATAGACAGGTTCCTGCAGGAAGGGTCGGATCAGCCCCGTGAGGTGGAGGTGGGCTTGCGGGCCGCTCCCAGCAACAGCCTTACTGATCCTTGTGCAGGCGATGAGTCACAATAACGTGGCTGAAGTATGTTGACCAGACCACACACACTAGCAGGTGAAGGGACGACGACGTTTTCGGTCCGTCCTGGACCATTCTCAAGTCGATTGTGAGAATGGTCCAGGACGGACCGAAACGTCGTCGTCCCTTCACCTTCTAGTGTGTGGTCTGGTCAACTTACTGATCCAGTCATTGCAAAAAAAAATAAAAAAACTGTCCTTAGACTGGGAAATGAGAGTAAAATAACAACTGAAAATTGGCTACAGGTAAAACTATAAATGAAATTATAATTGGCAGATGTTGGGAGATGTTATTTGACAGTTATTGAAAGAGTCAAGGTTAGTACGTGTTGGAAGAGGTAGTCAGGTGTCGCACCCCTCCCCCCCCCCCCCAGTTCACTGACCCTCTTCCAAATTATCGAAAACTGTCGAAGCCTTACAAGCGATAAATTAATCTCCCTGAGCCGTGGTGGATGATGATAATAATAACAAAATAATAGCATCGAAGAGGAAGGGTTCAGGAGCGGTCAGCTCAACGTCTCTTTGTTGTTCCTTGAGGCGCCTTGGGCCTGGCCGCGGGGCGACTGAGACAGGAAACTCTGGACCATGTGGTTCTTCTCGCTGGTGACGCCCGCGGTACATCATTGCCAGGTGCTGCCACCTCCTTGGCGTCGCTGGTGACGCCCGCGGTGCATCATTGCCAGGTGCTGCCACCTCCTTGGCGTCGCTGGTGACGCCTGCGGTACATCATTGCCAGGTGCTGCCACCTCCTTGGCGTCGCTGGTGACGCCCGCGGTACATCAGTGCCAGGTGCTGCCACCTCCTTGGCGTCCGTCCGCTAGATGGTGGTGTTATCGTCAGGCGAACACGGATAACTGGTCATTATATTACGGACTCACTGTAGCCTGTGCTACATGGACATTTCCTTCTGAGTAGCTAAATCTGAAACAACATGGTAATTATATTGACTAATAATAGCAGTAAATAGAGAGTTAAACAAAAACTATTTCTTCAAAGGTTGGTGTTCATTTGTCACCCTTCGAGAGTTGCAAACTCATGCTAATGCAACATTAAACGAATTTTACAAAAAAATGCCTCAATCAAATACAAAAATACATGCAAATAAGTATCACAACAATAAAGTGAAGCTGCATATATTTATTATTATTTAACAGAAGCACATATTAATAAAAGTCGTGGGAGTAAACTATGGATTCATTTTTTCTACCTTTCCCTGAACTAAATTATTTTAACAAAACATGATAAAAGCATTATGGGGGGTTTTCCATGGCCTTGCTTGGTACACCTGGAGGGGGTTCAGGGAGTTTTACTTCCCAGACCCGGCGTGGGGCCCCGGCGTAGTCCCAGGCTCGACAAGTGACCTAAGAGTCGGATTCGCACCTCCCTCACGAACGCTGACATGATTTGTTTATATCTAGCGTGAGAAAGCTTCTGAGAGTGAACAAATCCACGAGGGCCGTGACGAGGATTCGAACCTAATGAACTTCTGAGAGTAACTTGAGTGTGACGTTAATATAAAGCTCGGACTCCTGATTCAACCTTGACGACAAGCGGACGTCTGGACACCTGCTCCGCCTGAGAGCCGCCAGGTCACGTTCTGTTTCGCAATTTTGGATTTTGATACTGTCGTTTGGCATTCCTATTATACTGTCCGGATTGTTAAGGCGCCTGGCGCACATATCGTCTTGGGTCACAGGATAGTTGATAGATTTTGAATGTGTTCTGATTGGTTCTCCAGGCGGAGTGACGGTGTTTGGCTCCGGTTTGACCGAGAGGTGTCGGAGGTTGGTGGGTCTTGGTGGGCTCCTGGGGGCCCTCAACCGTGGTGGGTTCCTGGTGTGTCCTCAGCCGTGGTGGGCTCCTGGTGTGCCCTCAGCCGTGGTGGGCTCCTGGTGTGTCCTCAGCCGTGGTGGGCTCCTGGTGTGCCCTCAGCCGTGATGGGCTCCTGGTGTGCCCTCAGCCGTGGAGGGCTCCTGGTGTGCCCTCAGCCGTGATGGGCTCCTGGTGTGCCCTCAGCCGTGGTGGCCGGCTGGCATCTACTCTGCTGGGGGGACACAGGATGACTTTTGGGTTTCAGTTGGGGGTCGAGTTTTGGATTATCCTTCCCAGTGTTCTGCGTGTGGGGCTAGGCCGGTGCTTGTCACTCTGAGGGACTCTCGCCCGTCTGTGCGTTTATTGGCCGCGAAGCTCATTAGTGTCCGCTGATAATCGACATTCATTTCGCTATTAGGCTTCGCGATTAACCCTTCACGGGTACGCCGGGGCGCATCTGATCCCTCGATCATTGTCGCCCCTAACTCAACAACATATAAAGCACGAGGTAAATACCGGCGTCTATGGAACTGGCATTCAGGCCAGGTGCCTCTTGTGTTAAGGGGCCTCTGGTGTTAAGGGGCCTCTGGTGTTAAGGGGTCTGGTGTTCAGGGGCCTCTGGTGCTAAGGGACCTCTGGTGTTAAGGGGCCTCTGGTGTTCAGGGGCCTCTGGTGTTAAGGGGCCTCTGGTGTTCAGGGGCCTCTGGTGTTAAGGGGCCTCTGGTGTTCAGGGGCCTCTGGTGCTAAGGGGCCTCTGGTGTTCAGGGACCTCTGGTGTTCAGGGGCCTCTGGTGTTAAGGTGTCTCTGGTGTTAAGGGGCCTCTGGTGTTAAGGGGCCTCTGGTGTTCAGGGACCTCTGGTGTTAAGGTGTCTCTGGTGTTAAGGGGCCTCTGGTGTTAAGGTGTCTCTGGTGTTAAGGGGCCTCTGGTGTTAAGGTGCCTCTGGTGTTAAGGGGCCTCTGGTGTTAAGGGGCCTCTGGTGTTCAGGGGCCTCTGGTGTTAAGGTGTCTCTGGTGTTAAGGGGCCTCTGGTGTTAAGGGGCCTCTGGTGTTCAGGGACCTCTGGTGTTAAGGTGTCTCTGGTGTTAAGGGGCCTCTGGTGTTAAGGTGTCTCTGGTGTTAAGGGGCCTCTGGTCTTAAGGTGCCTCTGGTGTTAAGGGGCCTCTGGTGTTAAGGTGCCTCTGGTGTTAAGGGGCCTCTGGTGTTAAGGTGTCTCTGGTGTTAAGGGGCCTCTGGTGTTAAGGTGCCTCTGGTGTTAAGGGGCCTCTGGTGTTAAGGGGCCTCTGGTGTTCAGGGAGGCTCTGGCGTTTTTCTGGTACCATCTTTACGTTTCCTCTCCCCCCCCCCGGCCTCTATGAGAGTCGAACCCCCTACTGTATGTTGGTCAACTTCAGGTAGTCGACCAAGTCCCTCAGTGGTGTGCTTGTGGTCACAAAGGAACTGTGACCTTTGTCACATTCACAAATAAATACAGTGACTATTTATTCCCAATTAGAACAATTAAAAAGAAAGTTTTAAGTAGTATTCATATTCGGCATTATTTCTCGTGTATATAAATGTTTCATGAGTATGAATCCAGATTTTCAGTATTACCGACACCAATATCTTTTTCTGGTGATGACAGGATGATTTTGATGATATTACTCTTCAAAATGTTTTTTCTCACGGAAATTTGTGTCTTTACAGAGCCTGAGCCCGCTCTCCGCCATCATGGACTTGGAGTTCTATGGTGACGGCAAGGCAGTGTCCAGGATGTCGGCCAAGAAGAAGGTGAGTGCTTGACGACGCCTCTGTAATATACCGTTGTCTTTAAGAAGCCGGAACGATCGGTGGTGGTTTCTCCTCTGTTGATAATATTAATATCAAATGTTGATATCCATCTTCTGTGAAAATGTCATAAGTTGGTGGAGATGCTATACCTGGCGGTGTGAGTATTGTGCCTTCAGAACAGTACCTGTATTGTACCTTCAGTACAGTACCTGTATTGTACCTTCACAACAGTACCTGTATTGTACCTTCAGTACAGTACCTGTATTGTGCCTTTAGAACAGTACCTGTACTGTACCTTCAGAACAGTACCTGTATTGTACCTTCACAACAGTACCTGTATTGTACCTTCAGAATAGTACCTGTATTGTACCTTCACAACAGTACCTGTATTGTACCTTCACAACAGTACCTGTATTGTACCTTTAGAACAGTACCTGTATTGTGCCTTTAGAACAGTACCTGTATTGTACCTTCAGAACAGTACCTGTACTGTACCTTCAGAACAGTACCTGTACTGTACCTTCAGAACAGTACCTGTACTGTACCTTCAGAACAGTACCTGTACTGTACCTTCAGAACAGTACCTGTACTGTACCTTCAGAACAGTACCTGTACTGTACCTTCAGAACAGTACCTGTACTGTACCTTCAGAACAGTACCTGTACTGTACCTTCAGAACAGTACCTGTACTGTACCTTCACAACAGTACCTGTACTGTACCTTCAGAACAGTACCTGTACTGTACCTTCAGAACAGTACCTGTACTGTACCTTCAGAACAGTACCTGTACTGTACCTTCAGAACAGTACCTGTACTGTACCTTCAGAACAGTACCTGTACTGTACCTTCAGAACAGTACCTGTACTGTACCTTCAGAACAGTACCTGTACTGTACCTTCAGAACAGTACCTGTACTGTACCTTCAGAACAGTACCTGTACTGTACCTTCAGAACAGTACCTGTACTGTACCTTCAGAACAGTACCTGTACTGTACCTTCACAACAGTACCTGTACTGTACCTTCAGAACAGTACCTGTACTGTACCTTCAGAACAGTACCTGTACTGTACCTTCAGAACAGTACCTGTACTGTACCTTCAGAACAGTACCTGTACTGTACCTTCACAACAGTACCTGTACTGTAATGTAGAATAGAGCCAGTAAAGAACAGGGGTGCCATAGGCACAATCAGAGGACACTATATGAAGCCCACAGGTCCACGGCTGTCCAAATATCCTCCAAGCTTGTACAAGAAATATGGCCAAAACATAAGTGGAATTCTTCAAGAAAAAAACTGGACAATTTTCAGCAAGAAGTGCCGGACCAACCGGGCTGTAGTGGATATGTGGGCCTGTGGGCGACAGTCTGTTGAACCAAGCCTTCACAAGTCAAGTTTGGCCCCAGGCCGGGCTTATCTTGAGATGATTTCGGGGCTTTAGTGTCCCCGCGGCCCGGTCCTCGACCAGGCCTCCGCCCCCAGGAAGCAGTCCGTGACAGCTGACTAAAACACCCAGGTACCTATTTTACTGCTAGGTAACAGGGGCATAGGGTGAAAGAAACTCTGCCCATTGTTTCTCGCCGGCGCCCGGGATCGAACCCGGGCCCACAGGATCACAAGTCCAGCGTGCTGTCCGCTCGGCCGACCGGCTCCCTACATGGCTACAAGGCAGCCATGTCTTCTTCCATGGATAATGGTCTGGGGAACACTTAGGGCTGATTCCCCGAATTTGTCCTCTTGTTGACCTAAAGAGAATTATGTGGGTATGCCTCTCTTAAGAACATCTGCCTGCCAGAGGACAACTGAAGCGTGGGATGGGTTCTGGGAGGTGTTGTGACTGTGTGAAACATCTGCCACAGTCCCACTGATAATCATTTTCACTTTCAAATAGAGGAAGACTTTGTGGCTGGATCCGCTTTACCCTAATGTGCGTCTTTTGACTTGGAATTACTTGCAGTAATGTTGCCGCTACACCTACACGGTTATTCACACGGAACTCCAAGAACTTTGTCTTGGGTTCCGTCTCGTTGTTGTCTAAATTAACGAGATTGTATACAAGTTCCAAAAAGTGATAGTTCTTTCCTAGCGATTCCACTCCATCACGGTCCTTTGGTGCGGGTAATGCTTCTTTTGTGTTTGTGATGGGCGTCTGCTCCACAAAATGGTCCATAGTCTTATTGTACCTGGATGGAGTTCTGAAAGTTCTTCTCCCCGAGCAGGAGCCGGTCGGCCGAGCGGACAGCACACTGCACGTGCAATCCTGTGGTCCCGGGTTCGATCCCGGGCGCCGGCGAGAAACAATGGGCAGAGTTTCTTTCACCCTGTTACCTAGCAGTAAAATAGGTACCTGGGTGTTAGTCAGCTGTCACGGGCTGCTTCCTGGGGGTGGAGGCCTGGTCGAGGACCGGGCCGCGGGGACACTAAAGCCCCGAAATCATCTCAAGATAACCCGGGTACACGATTTCTCCCTTTATATATATATAAAAAAGTAGATTAGACTAACTAAAAGCGTTAAAACCTACGTCATCCACCTAACCAACCGGAGACGATCACCTTTAGTCTCTAAAAGCATCAATGCTAAATAGTTTTAATTTTCCTAAATCACCACAATTTTTACGCCAGGGTCGATTGTGTAAAAAATAGAGTGTGTTGAGTAAGAGGATGGGAATAGTCGCCGGTGTATACTTAATAGTCACCAGTTCCAGCCCGTAACCAGCAGCGTGTGCTTCTATGTCAGTGATATAGCTTCTATGTCAGTGATATAGCTTCTATGTCAGTGATATAGCTTCTATGTCAGTGATATAGCTTCTATGTCAGTGATATAGCTTCTATGTCAGTGATATAGCTTCTATGTCAGTGATATAGCTTCTATGTCAGTGGTATAGCTTCTATGTCAGTGATATAGCTTCTATGTCAGTGATATAGCTTCTATGTCAGTGATATAGCTTCTATGTCAGTGATATAGCTTCTATGTCAGTGATATAGCTTCTATGTCATGGGTTCGTATCCTGGCCGGGGAGGATTTACTGGGTGCAAATCCTTAACTGTAGCCTCTGTTTAACTCAACAGTAAAATGGGTACTTGGTTGTAACAAGGATTCTTCGCGGCGGGGATCGTATTCCAGGGACCTGCCCGGAACGCTACGCGTACTAGTGGATGTACAAGAATGTAACAACTCTCGTATATATCTCAAAAAAAAAAATATATATGGTCGAAATGGCTTGGCGCTTCTTCCTGATAGTTCCATTCTCTTCCTCCCAGCAGAGTTATAACAAGGATCTTTATTCGTATCAACTTGCACAAAGTGTTATAATTCTGACTGGACTGGCTAGCTCGCCAGTGTTGGAGTGGTTTCACACACACACGAGATGTAATAACTCATCAGCCGTAGCTCAGTCCAGCACTGTGCCAGCGATCATAAACATGTGGTTGGTGAGGCACAGCTAGGGAGATGGGGCTACTGTGACGCACAGTAGCGTCACAGTAGTGAGCGGCGGGGATGTCGACAGGTCACGATGGCAGACTGCTGTGTGGGTGCCAAAGTCGGTCCGCGTCTGCCGCATATGGTTAGTTCCGGGGAAAGTTTAGTAGGGAATTTAAATTATAACTAGGTACTAAGCCAAAGACTATGTAGCGCGTGGAAGGGATGTGAGAACAGGATAGGAGGACGGAGTGAAGTATACATTGCCCGACCATTAGCACCGTCTGGGATCAAACTCCGACTCGCAAGAAGCGACGTTGTCGCTCGTCTCAAGCCTGATATCGGGTGTGGAATAATTCTCGAAGCCTTTTCCAGGTAACCTCCAGGTAAACCAGCGTGGGAGTACAAAGTTGGGTGGTTATCTTCTTGAGGTTATCTTGAGATGATTTCGGGGCTTTAGTGTCCCCGCGGCCCGGTCCTCGACCAGGCCTCCACCCCCAGGAAGCAGCCCGTGACAGCTGACTAACACCCAGGTACCTATTTTACTGCTAGGTAAGAGGGGCATAGGGTGAAAGAAACTCTGCCCATTGTTTCTCGCCGGCGCCCGGGACCGAACCCGGAGCCACAGGATCACAAGCCTCGTGACTCACCTTACCTTCCCGCGCAAATAGAGGCAATTAAGGCCCAAATAAGCGAGAAAATTAAATATTTTTCTTCATTTCATTGACACCACTTGCCATTTTCCTACTTGTGTGAGGCAGGATTGTCAACACTCAAAGTACTTAAGAGTGTATAAACAAATTATTGGAGAACTTGGAGTGCGTGAGGCCACTAAACCCATCCATGCCACTTTTTTATATGAAGGTCAATTATTGTTCTGGCGGCCCACAGTATTGTATTTGTGCATTGTGGAGGGCACCATTCCTTTCCCCCCGTCCCATCCCATATCCTTATCCTGATCCCTTCCCAGTGCTATATAGTCATAATGGCTTGGCGCTTACTCCTGATAGTTCCCTTCCCTTGTGCATTGTGGCAGTGTTTGTTCAGACTTTACATTGCTTTTAACTTAAAACAATAAAAACACATTGAAAATAAATAGGTCTTGTTCAACATATTGTAAGTTCAACAACTTATGCCTGATTCAACATATATAATCATGAATAAGACTTCAACTTAGTCTCATTCAACTTATGAAAGTTCAACATTGATTATATACTACATGTAAGAATAATAAATTGGGGTTCAAGGTATTCGAGGGGCCGTTGATGTGATAAAGTTTAGGAACACCTGACCTAACTTGTTTGGCATTAACAGGTAGGACTCTGGTGACTTGTCTCAGGTGTGATGAAACCACTGCTGGAGCCAGATTCACGAAAGCACTTACGCAAGCACTTACGAACGTGTACATCTTTCCTCAATCTTTGACGGCTTTGATTACATTTATTAAACAGTTTACCAGCATGAAAACTTCCCAATCGACTGTTATTGTTATAAACAGCCTCCTGGTGCTTCATTAACTGTTTAATAATTGTAAACAAAGCCGCCAAAGATTGAGAAAAGATGTGCAGGTTCGTAAGTGTTTGCGTAAGTGCTTTCGTGAATCTGGTCCCTGGTCTGCTCCACAGGCACTTACCTACCAATGGTCTTGTGTGGTTGAGTGTTCAATAAACCCTTGAACTATATGTTTAACACTTCTCTAACCCTGTCCATGGAGGACAGAAGAAAATGTATATATGCTGGTTAGCATTGTAAATGTGTGGCAGCGTCTGTGGTAGAAAATAATAATAATAAAAAAAAATGGTCGACCCTCTCCATAACCAAATGATTTCTTGCACTATTCACAGGTGAAGTTCTCGCTGGAGCTGCCGGGACTGGTGAAGCAGGAGCCTGTGGATACCTACGATGGCGGCCTCGACCCTCCCCTGGTCGACCCCCACTGTGTACCCTCCGGTAGCGGCGCCCTGCAGCAGGCCATGCAGAAGGTGCCCGACCTCGCGGACCTCTCAGACCCCGAGTCTTCTCTAGGTACGTTCTCTCTTGTTAGTTATTCTTAAGCATCAACACAACGGCTGTGTGTTTTTTTTTTATTAATGAGAAGCAATATTTGTTGAGACTTGATGTTTATCTATCAACGGAAGATTATATTTTGGTTTCTACAAGAAAATACCGTCTTATCTTGAGATGATTCGTGGTTATCTTGAGATGATTTCGGGGCTTTTTTTTTTTTTTAGTGTCCCCGCGGCCCGGTCCTCGACCAGGCCTCCACCCCCAGGAAGCAGCCCGTGACAGTTGACTAACACCCAGGTACCTATTTTACTGCTAGGTAACAGGGGCATAGGGTGAAAGAAACTCTGCCCATTGTTTCTCGCCGGCGCCTGGGATCGAATCCAGGACCAGAGGATCACAAGTCCAGCGTGCTGTCCGCTCGGCCGACCGGCTCCCATCTTGTAAATAGATTTGTGACCAAGTGGACCTTAGAGTCAGAATCAAAATCCGACATTCACTGAAAGTTGCACAAGTGGGAGCGGCAATAAAAAAAATAATTTAATCAAACCTAGAAATAATCAAGCGTACCCTTGACTTTTAAGAAAAAAATGGTAGTTATTCAACTGCATAAATCTCTGGTGCAGCCCCACTTGTATTATTGTATCCAAGCATGGAGTCCTCATCTTTAGAAAGACGTTGGAGAAAGTTCAACACCGGGCAACCAAAATCATTCCAGAACTAAGTCAACTGTCACACCAGGAATGGTTGAGGGCCACAGTGCTAGCAACACTGCAAACCAGACATGTCAATGCGGATTTCGTCGAAGCTTTCAAAATACTGAACAAATTGGGGGATGTTGATCCGGACAATGTCTTCAAAAGGTCAGGTGTAACACAAGAAGCAACGGTTTCAAGTTCAAGAAGCCACAATGTTGGACTGAAAACAAGAGATGTTTTTACACCCACGGAACCGCCTACCCGCAGAAGCTGTAAATGCCAAAAGTATTGAATTGTAAAATCCAACTAGACCAAAAAATGAGGACAAATTAGGGGAGGGGGGAACTTTGAGAAGCCGCTGGCTTTGCCTTCGTCGAGGCAACTAGAGGGTTAGTGGGCCTCAGGTAAATTCAGGTAAGTATTGTCAGTACCTCAAAGGTCAATAGACACGTGAGGAGCATATAATAATGTTGGTAAATATGGGTTATTTGTATTGGCTAAACATCTTGAACAAGATATATAAACGTTTCCAGGAAACATATTACTCCAAATTTATAATACACTAATCCTGACAACTGAATTTAGGTTTTATCTTACCAAGAGAGGCCGAGAGCCTCAGAACTAATACACGTGAAGACAAGACACAACAGCGTTGATCTCTTCAAGGTTTTAAATGCTGAGTAAGACAGAAGACGACAGTGCAGAATACTTGTCCTACTAGCGCCCCCGGACGTGGGTCAAAATGTCCAGTGTGACACAGGAGGGAAGAAACAGGTCCAAGCGTGGTAACCCTCATTATGTTAAAACAATAGAGGCCTTTTCGCCCATAGGGTCATAAACCCTTGGACTACTGACCCGCCGTAGTCATAAAATCCACGAAACTACTCCCTTTAGTTGTATTTTCGGGAGATGAGCTATGATTCTTGGGTCCCACCTCTCGACCCTTAATCATCCGGGTAAATTGCTTTCAGCGCTTATTGTGCTGTCATATCTACATATAAAGGTGTGAATGGAGTCTGCCTGCACCATTTCACTCAGCTCTGTACGCATGTTGAGCAGTCTACCCCCTGTTTATTCCCATGAAGAGTTTATGTGGTAATCATTTTAGAGAGCATTAAGGGGGCCCCTTTTACAATCCTCCGGCTTAGCGGAGGAATTGTCAAGGTAGCGCCCCCGGACTGAGGGGCTGTGGGAAATAGTGCTAGTGTTGTTTAGTCACAGCTGAAATTGAAATGAAAATATAATATAAATATACTAGAAACATATATAATGCAAAAAAGTCACAATAACGTGGGTGAAAATGAATAACCGAACTCTAGCATATGTGAAGAGAAATGAAAGTGACAACAAACACCACGTGACAAGACAGACCTAATCACCTTCACTTTCCTTTTAATTAATAATTCCCGTTATCGGGGACGAATTGTGTACTAAGGGTTATATTCAGGTCCAACCCCCCCCCCCCTATCCCCTTAGGTCGAGTTGACCTGCCCCAGGTTGCAGCCCACAACAGTGGCCTTACTCAACAAGATATCTACTTCTAAGTGAAAAGAAAACGTGCCCAGCCATTTATGTCCCGTCCGGGGATCGAACTCTTGATCCCCGATTGTGTGTCGAGAACACAGACCTCTGGGTTATTGCACATAGTGTCATTAATTCAAGCATTCACTTAGTTATGGTTGAGGAAGTTGAGCTTCGGCTCTTCGGTCCCACCTGCCTCTGAACACACGGCTGATGGGATCTAACCTCTGTGGGACTTTAGGTTGCTTGTAAGCCTTAAAACACGCCATCTTTTTTGGGGGGGCTAATTCTTTGTTATTATCTATATAGCATACACCCAGGTAGGGGTATCTCTGCTATCCCTGCTGACGCTGTCATTTGACCTTTTGGCTACTTTTGTTGCTCCGAGAATCAATGTCCTCTCCTGGGTGGTTTGGTTAGACGTTGCTGCTCGCAATCACAGGTTAGTTGATCAGGCATCATTGTTGATGAAGAGAGATCGGCAAATTATACCCCTTATGTTCAGAGGTAGAGTGTTGAAATGTCTTGGGGTCATGATGGTTTTTTTTTTTTTGTTTTTTGTTTTGTTTTTTGAGATATATACAAGAGTTGTTACATTCTTGTACAGCCACTAGTACGCGTAGCGTTTCGGGCAGGTCCCTGGAATACGATCCCCGCCGCGAAGAATCGTTGTTACAACCAAGTACACATTTTACTGTTGCGTTAAACAGAGGCTACAGTTAAGGAATTGCGCCCAGTAAATCCTCCCCGGCCAGGATACGAACCCATGACATAGCGCTCGCGGAACGCCAGGCGAGTGTCTTACCACTACACCACGGAGACTGTCATGTTGACAGAATGATGTCTCTTAAAGTACCCATTGAACCTCTGCTTTTCAAAGGGACTATTTTGAACCCCTGTCGTGTCTCCTGCAGACCTGTTGTCATTATGTACATTACTCATTCTTACGTTGTGTATATAATTACAACTTAGTGTGTTGTCATACCTACACATAAAGGTTACCTGGTTGATACCTGGTTGATGGGGTTCTGGGAGTTCTTCTACTCCCCAAGCCCGGCCCGAGGCCAGGCTTGACTTGTGAGAGTTGTGTATGTATTGGAGCCGTGTAGTTGTGTATGTATGGAGTCTGCCTGCACCATTTCACTCAGCGTGGTCCATTTGTTTAGTACTGTGCCCATGCTAAGTAGTCTGCCCCTGTTCATTCCTATGATGATTTTATGTGTGGTAAACACTTAGAGAGCATTAAGGGGCTCTTTTTACCAGACGTTGGCTAAGCACCCCCAGGCCTAAGGGCTGGGGGAAATTGAGCATAGTTACTTTAATAGTGCAGCTATTTTGATATTTATTTTAGCGAAGATTGAATTAGCCTTTGGTGAGGGAATGACAGAATGAGGAGGTAATGGATTTTACTGAATGTGGTTATTTATGAGAAATGGAGATCATTCTAATGTGATTTATTTCTCAAGGTGTATATGGGGACATGAAGGCAGGGTGTGTGCGATGTGTCCATCATTATAAATTTCTTGAGCATTTTACCCTTGCACACTTGTTCAACAAAATTAACTAGCTATCGTCAGTGTTTCGTGGGATCCATAGTTCGTAATCACACAAAACCCAAAACACACAAATAGCAAAATATTAAATAATTATACTCCGACTCCAAAGATCCATATGACCCTTGTTCTAACTTTCAGGTCTCTGATGGCATCTGAATTACGAGTCAAGTGTGTAAAAAAAAAGTAATTACAATACATCAGCTTGGTTGAAACGTGGGGTAAAATCCAACACTGCATCAAAACCAACACCAATTTGGTTCAGTTCCCCTGATATTGTCATCCCTGGCCATATATGGAACGTTTTCTACAGCTACCTTTTCGTATCTTAAAGAGAACGGATATATTTCTATAAAGGGATGACTAACATATATATATATTTTTTTTTTTCAAACGAGTTATCAATTTTGAAAAGACCTAATACTTTTTGTTTTAATTTTTATGCGATTTCAAATTGATTTTATCTATAAATTAACATCGTATATTTCTATTAGATTTGGTTTAGTACATATTTTTAGGCCGTTGAACGGGTATAGAGGGTTACTAAGGCTACCACAATACCTTACTGACCAACCAGCAAGTATAATAATTTCTGATATAATAGTATAATTTAGGCCTGAGCATAATACAGAACTGGAACACACACACTGCGTCCCACACTGCGTCACAAACTGCGTCACACACTGCGTCACACACTGCGTCACACTGCGTCACACACTGCGTCACACATTGCGTCATATACTGCGTCACACACTGTCCCGCACTGCGTCACACACTGCGTCACATACACTGCGTCACACACTGCGTCACACACACTGCGTCATACACTGCGTCACACTGCCTCGCTGTATAACGGCCGGGAAGGCGGCCAAGGCTGCCCCACATGTTGTACCGCTGCACCACACTACCCAGGCTGTCATGTATAAACCTAATTGTTTACAAGACCCATTGTACCTTCTTGTAATTATATAAAACAGAAATCACGAGACTAATAACTTCAAGGACAATGGATAACTCCTGTACTCAACTAATTGTACTTGAGGCTGGTTGAGCTTCAGCTCGTGGGAGCCAGAGTGTCTTTACAGGATAGTTTTTGTATCTCATTGTTATATCATAATAGTTATATTCATTAGGCGAAAGAAAACGTGCCCAACCATTTCTGTCCCGCCCGTAGATAGAAACTTGTGTGTTTTTAATGGCTTTAAGTGGCGCAAAGAGGCCCGGGATTCATCCCACTTGTGTATGTCCA